AAGCGATAGTGAAGCCCTCAGTTGTTTACAAAGATATTAAGCTACCAGGATTTGTTCCTGCTCTCCTTGCCCAGCAGGGAAACCAGAGCAGAAGGCACAACAGAAATATTCACCCAGATGTAGGCCACAATCCACAGCACAAGACAGGCTTACTCCCACATATGAAAAGATGGACACCTGGCAGTTAACAGGAGTCAAGTCTGTACAACATCCTGAAGGAAGAAGTTTCCAGACTGGTAAATAGTAAGCCCACTGAGGAAAGTTTCCTGGATGGCATCCCAGCAAGCAACGCACACACACACCCACCCTCTCTAGAAAAGTCAGGCCCCAGCTAAGTTACCTGGTGCGTTAAAATGACCCTGATAGGAGAGATCAAAATAGATGAAATGAGAAGAAATGTTAAATCTTGGAAAGGGAGAGAGAGACCAGGATGTATGACAGCTGTTTAATGTTTCCTCAACAGATGCATGAGCTACGTGTGAGCTCCCTTACAGCAGGGAGCACATTCCTCAGTAGATTCAACTAGCAATGTAGGATTTAAGCTTCAACAAGCAACTGTATGACATTTGAATGAATAGAGAAGCTCAAAGTAATAATAATAAAAAAATCTGTTCCCAAGCTCCAACAGCAATCTTCACCAGGGAGACTTAGAGATATCTGAGTCTCAAAAGAAAGTCGGCCAAGCATTGTGACAGCTTGATACAGCCTCTCACTGTTCATTGCTTTGTGTCATTAACTCCAGCTTAACCAGTGCCCTGGATTCAGTGCATGCTGCATCAAGAAAGAGACAAGTTTCTTCTCTGACCTAGATGGAGGACAGCTATTTTCAGGTTATTAATGTGCACTTCTCTTGCATTCTGCATAATGTGAAGTAGGCCTGTTTCATTTCCACTATGAAGCACTGACATCTAGCTGTGTACTGACAGGCTGATATCACACTTGGATTGAACAGTAGGGGGATTAAAAAAAAATAAAAGTGAAGAAATGTCAGTGTCCCCAATGAAGTGCCCACCATTGAGTCATGAAGTTGAACTCACTCTTTCTGTTACTGAGCTGGCTCTGTGCAGCAGCTTCAGTTATCACAAGTCCTCAGCAGAATAGATAGAGCCCTGGAGCCAAACATCAGGTGCAAAGGCAGGTACTGGGATAATACAGAACCTGTGTAGGCTGTTAGCAACAAAGCTGCAATATCTAATATCTTGGGCTGCAACGAGTCTGAAAGAAAGTATAACAGCCAAACCAAACCTTAGACAGCTTCATGCATACCTCAAGGGTCAGAGGTATGTGTAGAAAGATGCCTATACTAGCGTGCTTAGGAAGAAGAGAGGTATAACTGAGAAAACGTTCATCTTCCTTGGCCTAGCACCTAGAGTGCTTACACTGTGACAAAGAAAGCAGCATGTTTCTGCAGGGAATATTCTTTCTGTGCCTCTCACTTTGATAAGCACATTTAAATTCTAATGCATCTCAGTGACTGAGTCTGCCACTCCCTGCAACCAAGGGAGATGAGAGCACAGAGATAGTGCAGGGTCAGTTTGCATGTTTTACTGGTTCACCAATTACACATTTCAAAGCATTTGGCCAATTCCTCTACACAGCTGCCAAGCTGTTGGCATAATAACCAGTAAAACTGTCATTAGCCAAGTTTAAGTGAACTTACATGTTTCCCATCATGATATTGCTGACAAAGATATCCTCACAGATGCTACACACAGCACTGCAAAGAAAGCCACACAGATAGGAAGAGCAAGCTGGAGAGACCACAGTGTTCATTGCAGTGCTGGAAACAGTTTTTCCATTCTCTCCCACGCACATTATATAATACCTTGTTTAGGAGTCTCCTGAGCAGCTTGTACAAACAAAACAATAAATTTCCAGCCCATCATACTTAGCAGCCTCAACATAGTCGATAAACATTAGCTAGTTAATAAGCAGTTTGCCCCCTGAAGTCAAGGGGTACATAAGCTGTGACACCAAAGAGAGCTGAGGAAGAGAGAAAAAGAATAGATATAAACAAGAGCAGAGCCTGACCCAGATGCTAGGATAGCCTTCACAAATGCACTGATAATGTGCAAAGTTTATTTGGGGTACAGAGGTGCTTTATTACATATTTAAACTGACAGTGATTAAGAATACCCTCATTGAAGCATGCATAACATGGTGAGCATGCACATCTTAAAGAGAAAGATGAAATAGGCTTCCTTGCTGCAAGAGACACAGTATTGGCAGTCAACAAAAGCTTCCATCATAACATTGATTGTTATCCTCCTAACTGTCTTCAGACATGGCAAAAAAAAAAACAAAAAAAAAAACCAAAACACAGTACAGGAATCCTGTGTGCTTCAAGGGTGCTCTTTCCTGGACCACTGTTTCTCTAAGTCTTTCTTGTATCCGCAATTATGCCAAAGAAAGGGGGAAGGCACTGACAACAGTGCTGCCTCTGCCCACCAAGGTTTTTTAGCTGCCAGCCTCCAAAACAGCCCTTGCAGGCTGCAGACCCCAGAATGCCTACTGAGCATTCAGCCCTGGAAGACTGCATCTTCCTAAGTTTGCTGCTTGCAAGGTGATAGAATGCCTCAGGTTTGCCAGCCATGCTGCAGTCATATTTAAACATTTTAGATAAACCAGATGAATTTGGTAAGATGTAGATAATTGATTATTTGGCAACAACAAAAAAAAAAAAAAAAAAAAGGAAGAAAGAAAAAGAAAGAAAGAAAGCCACAACCAGCACCAATCTTGATGGCTGCCTTCCCTCTGACCTAGTCTTAAACTGACTCCTGTGCTTCGGGCATGAGCAGTAACTCATAGCCATCTTATCTCAGCACAGGTCACAGAGCTTTCCAGAATGGAGGAAACCCTTTACACAAGCCTGGGTCATCCTTCGCTTTCTCTGCAACAGAGCTGAGACTCAAATGTTGCCATTAACATTTCCCTTTTTCTGTAAGATATGCCAATACAAACATGGGGGGTTGCTGCTGAAACCTACTATGTTGTTAACAACTCATGTACCTGGTATGATGCAGTTTTACTCCAGAAAGAAACCTCTGAAATTCTCATGATTTTTCATTATGAAGGCATCAGAGGCAACCTCTGCCTAAGAAGCTCTTGTCATCATTCCAAACTTTCTCCACCCCCCCATGCAAACTCATGTTATGGCAGCATCATGCTCAGGCTTGCATGGTAATAGCTTGCTAAACTGATGTGAGTTTTGCTTTTTAGGCTAAAAAAAATAAATCAAGGGGAAAAAAAAAAAAAAAAAAGCACAAACCAGAAGCAAAATGGTTTTACACACGATACCAGCAGCAGATGTCGTGAGCAGCTGTGTTGACACAGCAAAGGGAGCAGCACAGCATGGTAGGAACTGCACAGGCCCCTGCTGCTGCTGGAGCACCACGCTGGGGGCAGCATCTTGGATGGGCCAGGAGCCAACACAGCATGAAATGTAACCACCAGCCTGATGAGGGAATGGGGGAGTGTTTTTCTTCAACTACATCTTGCCTGTCAGTGTTAACTGAAACTGCTGTAGGAAGACATCCCACAGTCCCCTAGCGAGCTGCTGTTGCTTTTCAAGGCAGAGGGTTTTGTTTATGACACAGGTCAGCACTTCAGCTGAATTTCACCCCCTAAGTTTCAAGCCAAAGTTGCCATGCTTATGCAGACACAATGGCTGATCTTAAGGTTGCTCTGAAAACAATAATCTAATACCCATGCTAGAAACCACTTATCTCCATGGCTCCTAGCAGCCAGTGATATTGGGACTGACTGAATACCTACACTCTCCCCCATTTGACTTTTCACAGCCTCATCTCTAGAAGTTATTTTGCAGTTTACAGGCATGCTACAGGTTTAACATGCTGAAAGACCCCCAATTGCAGTCTTACATGCAGTGCTCAGTTCCACGCTTCCCACCTTCCATTTAAATCCCCAGCCAGTCTGTACAGAGAAGAAGCTACATACATTTCCACTGGACAAGAAAAACCAGGAGAAATCTGAGTTGCCCTGGTGGAAAAAAAAAAAAAAGCAGCACCATTTGAATGTCTACATGTCAAATACAGGAAACAGGCTCCCAAATATTGAGCTGGTAGGGTCTGTCTGGAAGTAGCTCTCCAAGTAACATTTTTGTCTGAATGGATTAATATATCTGAGGCTGGTGGACAGTAGGGCCTTCCTGTTCTATGCTATAAACAGAGTAAATAAAACAGTAATGCACAACAAACATTAATACTGGTATGTCCTCAGTAGTGCTATAGTCTCAAGTACAAACCCAAGAGTGCTGAAGCAGACTTTCCAGTTACATAGGTGCAGAACATGATCTTTAAAAAGTCTTGGGAAAGGTCATTTTCTGGATTGCACTTTATTGTATAATTTTGCTTGATCTGGATCCTAATAGAATGAGACTCAAAGAAACTAAGGAGAGTCTTATTAGAATCAATTATAAAACAACTTTACATATGCTTAAGGCACAATTGCTGTCAACATTTATACACCATCTATAGAAGACTCCTCAGACATCACTCTGAATGCCGAAACCGAGGAGGCAATGCCAAACACAATCCTCAGCCCAGTGTGCATGTGGGGACACTGAAGTTACAGCACAGCACTATTTCAACATTCCAGTATTAGATCAGCTTTACCATCATCGTGAACAAACCCAGATGAAGTTTCTCAGGCGCTGTCAGGTGAAGCAGACTTTCACACACCAAATAAGGAGATTCCAGCTACCCACCCACCTGCTTTAAAAACAACAGGGAATGGAAAGAAAACCATCTGTTTGATGCAGCAAATACTTCATGAAAAGGTATAAGGTCAAGTCCTTTTTACAGTTATTCATAAAAGCAGCCTGACTTCTTTCTTCTGAAGAATGTTGATAGGGAAACTTAAGCACCTTTCAGACACCCACCAAGATATGCATACAAATATAGACCGAAAAACTATGCAGAGCACTGGGCTGGAGAAAAGAAGCCAGCAACAGCAACACAAGCTCAGGTGTGTGGCAGCAGCTAGAACTCCTGTGAATGACCATTTTTGTGGGGTGACTTAAGTGTCACTGTCTTCTTAGGAACGAGCTCAGGAAGAACATTAGGTAACACCCCTCCTTGAGCGATGGTCACACAGGCGAAGAGCTTGCTCAGCTCATCATCATTTCTCACAGCCAGCTGGATGTGTCGGGGCAGGATCCTGGCCTTCTTGTTTTCCCGTGCAGCATTCCCTGCCAGCTCCAGGATCTCCGCAGTCAGGTATTCCAGCACTGCAGCCATGTAGACTGCAGAACCAGGGCTGATCCTGTCAGCATAGCTGCCTCTCCTAAGGAGCCTGTAGACTCGACCCACAGGGAACTGCAGACCAGCCATGGCTGATTTCGTTTTCTTTGACACAAGAGGGAGCTTTGTGTTTTCATTTTCACGTGCAGACATTCTAGTGTCAACCTAGTGCAAGAAGAGGAAGAATTAGCAACAAGGATAAACAACAAAAATTGAGCATTTAAGCCTATCCTCCCTTCCTCGCCATTCCACTGCCTCTCTCATTCCTGAGAAGTCAGGTTTTGTTTTCAAGAAGTTTGCTAGTTGTTTCATGTTCCTGTCTGAAGGAGCAGATGTGTTAGACTGCTTCTCCACGAGGCTGACATGTTTCCAGCCAAGGGACACTTACAAGCTCAGTCAGAGCAGAGGTCAGCTTTCTGCTTGGGTCCTAAACTTCTCAAGAAAGAGAAGTGGAACATAGGAGCAAGGTTTTCTGTTGTCAGAGGAGCACTGTTGTTAAGGGAAAAGGTTAAGAAAACAAGGCTTCAAGATCCAACAAGCATTCAGAAAGCCTGCAGAGAGTCTTCACTGAACTTACCCCTAGCAGAAACATGAACAGCTTCTGTAACCATGTCCTCCAAGCAAACAGAGCTAAAAATTTATATGTTTTTCTGATCTAACAACAGAAAAATAAACAAAAAAATCCCCTTCATCTGCTGGAAACCACTTCAAACAGAGCCTGTCTTTTAAAGATGAGGAGACCTATTGCTGTAAAGTGACAGGCTACAAACAAAAACAAGACTTACAAGCAAGAGAAGCTGTTTTTACATTGGAGACTGAAATTGTTCTACTCTCTATACTGCAGCAGTTTACTACAAATACATGAGTGCCATCTACTTGTATAGTACTTCTCTTTTTACAACAAGCCTCCATTACTTATTACTGATGAAGTTCTTGGTATTGAATAGCACCAGCTCCTCTTTGACACATAACAAAAAACAGAAGGCAAACATCAGAAAATTCTGCCCCTGTGCATAGGATTGCTTTTAAGTTTCGATTGTAAGCTGTTTTGAAATAAGAAGAGACTTCCCTCAGATTTCAGGAGAAACTAAATCAAATATTACATTAAAGCACTTTGAAGTATAATAAAAGAAAGGCTCTTATAGATTACTGAGGATCCTAGAAAAAGTGAGCTTTAGAAGTAGCCTAGATAAACCAAGCTAAAGACTCACCTTAAACAACAGCCTTATACAAACAAAAAAAAAAATTATAAAAGCCACTACCTCGTTCAGTAGTGGCTTTTACACATCCAGTTCATTCCTAACACAAAGAAGCACACCCTTAAAGAAAAAGTCCTTACCTATACAAGCTGCTTTAGCCCTTCTCTCCAGAAAGACTGAACCAAAACAAACCATGCTTTCCCCCCCCAGCTGCCCTTTTTTAAGCTCCATACTGACAGCCATATCATTAGCAGCTCTTGCCTCATTTAATGCCACCTGAGTGAGTGAAGCTTCAGCCTCTCAAAATGAGAAACAATGAAAGTCGCAACACTTGAGCAACACAGTGAAGTTCTTAAGAGCAGGAGAATTTGGTACTCTTCCCTGAAAAGCTGCTTTGTGCTCTGTCAGCTGATTTTCTCCACTGAAAACACATGTTATTTACTGCCTCAAAGAAGGGTGATACCTCTGACTGTCAATTCATTTATTACAGCTGTAAGGGGGGCACATCGCACCCCGCTGCACTCATCAAGAATTCAACCTAGTAGCCTCTACTGTGGTTGATTTTGCTATCAGCAGTGGCCAAACTGCTTTATGAGCACACTGCAGAGCCTGGGAAAGGTTCGGGACTTCTGGTTGCCTCCATTCTATGGCTTGTCCCCCTCTGTCACATAGTACTTTTTTTTTTTTTCTCCAAAGTCACACGTAGCTGTGTTGCAAGGTTTTATATGTTTTTCAAGGGTTGAGTGTGTGGTGACAGCCGAATCTATTATTTCTCCAATGTATGAATGCTAAAGGGTTGAGCCTAGGCCCAAAAAAAATTTCACTAGCAGCTGAGCTAGGAGGCATTCATTCTCTGACATCCAAAGCCAGAGGAGTGTTTTCAGCTCACTCTGCAATCTGGTTAGTTTATGAATGAATTAAACTACTGGCTAGAAATAAAACAAATGAGATTGTTCTCAATCAAAGAAATTCTGAAAAAATAGACCTTGGAATTCACCACAAACTCAGTCTTTGGGGATATGGTCTTTCTTCTCCCTCAGCTCTTTCATCACACAGAAAATGTCAATTAAAGGCCTTTCCAGTAGCTGCATGAACACTGGATGTGCCTTAGGGGGTCTGTCTGGTGTGGTGCAGAGCAGAACCACAGAAGCAGTTTTCATCCTGGAGCAGAACTCTGAAACATAGCTCTCTTGATTAGCAGAGGGCTATAACCGCCACACTTAAAACTGCATGATATGAGCATCTTGCTTGAATCTTCTCTCATTACTGCAAGCTTTCAGATCTATACTTCATTGAAAGAAATAATCATTCCCACCATTTCTTTGCATGGTCAAATAGCAGGATTAATTTGATTTTCACATGTTCATTTCACATATATATCCTTTAAAGCTTTTTTTTTTCTTTCCCCAGTTAACAGCACAAGGCTGAAGTTGCATGTAGGACAAGGGGGACTGGAAGGAACAGCCTTAAGTTGCGCCAGGGGACGTTCAGGTTGGATACTGGGAAAAACAGCTTCTCCAAACAAATGGTGAGGCAGTGGCACAGGCTGCCCAGGGAAGTGGTGGAATCATCATCCTTGGAGGTGTTTGAGAACCGTATGGATGTGGCATTGAGGGATGTGGTCAGTGGGTAATATTGGTGATAGGCAAACACTTGGACTAGATGATTTTCGTGGGCTTTTCCAACCTTAATGATTCTATGATATAGGACATCTTTATGCACAAAGCTGCAGATCTACTCCCAGGCATTTTTACATCTTTGCTCCAGCATCCCCCACTTTCTCACTTCAGTGAAAAGCGTAGGCCAACCAAAAGCTCATCAAACTGATCTTTGCAAACAGGTTGTATACAACTCCTTCAATTGCCCACTACTGTGAAAAATTCAAGATGTTTGGTTTGCTCAGGAATCCTCCTTCCCCACTCTTACTTAAGTGCAGCTTTGAGTTGTTTACACTGTGAATCACTACAGCTCCAAAGTCCCTCAAAATCATAAAAGCTGACCTGTATGCTCTGACACATTCATGCTTGGAGGGCACCCAGGTCAAATTCAACATGACAGGCATATCTTATATAAAAATCTTATATAAAACAGGTTTTCACTCTGCCTGCAGGTTAGGAAGATGGTCCTAACCAGCTCTTCTCTGTAAGATGCTGTGAAGTCTGTGAGGCAGTACAACAAAGGCAGACTGATCCTAATACACTTGCACCAGATCTCATTTCCCCACTCAATAGCAAATCACAACATCCACTACAGAGTAAAAAGCCTAGGAACCTTCTCAAGGGAAAGCTTTCACTTTCAGTGACTTAGTTAGCAAAGGCCTAGGAGCTTGTTTAGAGGAGAATATATTTGTTATTCTGCACCAATAGAAAGAAGCAAGAGAGTCACCTTCACGAACAGCACAAGGTTTAAATATGCTCCCTGTAGTCAGTACGGCAAGGAGGAGAAAGTGGTTTAGCCTCCTGTGAGATAGCTCACTGCAGCTCTCCAAGCAGTAAGGCATTAAAGCAAAGGGTAATCAACTACTAAAGCAGAATTAGCCTGTGATGTGCTGAACTAACTGCACTGAGGCCATGATAAACGTTCACATGGATCTTGATTCCTCTGCTTTCTCTACAACCTTTACCTGAAAACATATTATAGAAGTAAACAAACAATTTTAAAGTTATTTGGATGATATGCTAGACCAAGAAAATAAGGCAACCACATTTCAGTGGAAATGAAGCTGTGGAAAAAAAGGAGAACAGTGTTGCTTTCTGGGAATTTTTATTACAGTCTTCAAAAAATGCATTAAAAACAGTGGAAAAAAATACAAAGAATTAAACAGATTAGTGCTGAGTCCCATTATTCATGTGTGTGGATCAGACCAGAAAAAGCAAGTTTTACTGGCTACCAGGTTGTTCCTGAGGCACGCCAGTACTTTTGGAAGTTTTCTTGGGAAGGAGCTGGGGGAGGATATTTGGCATAACCCCTCCTTGAGCAATGGTCACACAGGCAAAGAGCTTGCTCAGCTCATCATCATTTCTCACAGCCAGCTGGATGTGGCGGGGCAGGATCCTGGCCTTCTTGTTTTCCCGTGCAGCATTCCCTGCCAGCTCCAGGATCTCTGCAGTCAGGTATTCCAGCACTGCAGCCATGTAGACTGCAGAACCAGGGCTGATCCTGTCAGCATAGCTGCCTCTCCTAAGGAGCCTATAGACTCGACCCACAGGGAACTGCAGACCAGCCATGGCTGATTTTGCTTTCTTTGGTGCAGCTTCAGTCTTGCTAGCCACTGTAGGTTTCTTCCCACGCCCAGACATTCTGAATAACACAGAGAGACAAAGAATTGGAGATTTCCACAGTACCCAGATGCTTAGGATACAGGTAACTGATAACAAGAGGAGATAGCAGCAAGGATAGTTACACTTCTACACCAAGAAGAAAGCTTGTTCTTTTCATGAGGGTAGGAAGAGCTACCCACTTAAGTTCATTAAAAACAGATCTAAGATAACTTCTACTGCCCCTTAACAGCCTAATTTTGAGAGCAAGAGTAGTTTGAAAAACTATCAGTAAGACTTACTGAAGCAGATGCAAAGAGCTCAAAAAAAGCAGTTTTTCAATATTTAGAATGTACTGGAGATTGAGGCAAGATGGATCACCTTATACAAGGTTTGTCTTAAACAATAACTTATCTCAATGCTGGCTGTAGGCCAAGGCTGCCTCTTTTTCCAGGAGGACTCTGTATTCAAACTTCTTTTACTATTATAATAGATTTTCTGAATTCACATTAAATACAACACTTCAAGGACTCATACAGCCCGCAAAGCCTTATCTGAGGAAAAGCAAGAGATTTTCACTATAGTTTCTAAATTTATTCTTTAATAGATTTTCAGACTGCCATAAAACCACGGAGGCTACTGTACATGAGAGAGAAAGAATCAATTTGGACACAGTATTACAAACATAGAAATAGATATTACTATTAATTTAACTAGAATGACAATCAAATTCAGTTCAGCTAGAGAATATCTTCTGTTAAAGCAGCAAAAATACTTGATTATCCTATTTACTCAGACTTAAAATATTGTTTAACTTCTAGCACAACTGTTTATAATATAAAATAACACATCATTAGACTAACATAATTTGTGTAGTTTTTAAATAGAAAAACTTGAATACTTCAGAAATAACAGAATAAAGTTTCAAAGGGAAGAAGCAAAACAAAAAGCCTACCCTGTATTAAAGTCTAAGTAAAGCCAAGCTATAGCTTATTACCTCCACCTTCAAACAAACATTTTCTGTTAGCTTACTTTGCAGACATATAATGCTACACATACAGTTTCTCTACAAAGTAACCCTCCAACTTTTAGCCTAGGCATTATAGATGAAAAAGATATCCTGTTACCTTGCAAAGAGCTATTTTTAGCCTAATCTGTGCTTTACTATAGCCTACAGTCAAACAGTAGGCTATACAGAGGCAAATAGTCCTCAAAAAACCATTTTCCCTAACCTGGAGCAGTGACTTTTATGAGCAAGATTTTCTCCCCATTAGTGGGGTCACCTGGACAATTAATGAGTCATTCCCACATGCAGCTCATCTTCCTCCAAACGCTTGATTGGAGGGAAAAGGAAGAAATACAGACACTCTGAAGTAAATCCTTCCTGGAGAGGTGATGAAAGTCTAGGCTGTCTTCAAGGGCTAAACTACACTTACAGTTTAGTCTCTGTAATAGTATCAACTCTTAGTTGTTGGGGATGGACTATTTCTGTTCATGTAAAAAATCAATCCTCTCTTTCCTGCTAAGGCTTGATTTAGACAAGTATATAAAGGAAATGTGAGTTTTAATTAAGAAAGAGGGAGGGAAACAAAGTACCATGGGTGTCTCCTAGGCAGAGGAGGCCTTTCAGCAAAAGGAATAGAGAAAGGCTGCTAGCTTCACTTGTACTCTGTGAGCAAAACCCCCTGAAGTGATGTGAAGGGGGTGCTTCTAAGGCATGTGCTTCTTCTGATAACTCAGGACTTAAGTCTGTTTATATGGGCTTCTGATGCTCAGGGTCCTCCTTGGTTAGTTCCTCTGAATTCACTTGGGTAAGAATCTTATCTAATACATGTGAGTGTTTTCATAGAATCACAGAATGGCCTGGGTTGAAAAGGACAACAACGATCATCTTTCAACCCCCCTGCTATGGTTGGCAGGGTTGCCAGCCACCAGACCAGGCTGCCCAGAGCCACATCCAGCCTGGCCTTGAATGCCTCCAGGAATGGGGCATGCACAGCCTCCTTGGGCAACCTGTTCCAGTGTGTCACCACCTTCTGTGTGAAAAACTACTTCCTGATATCTAACCTAAATTTTTGCTGTCTTAGTTTAAAGCCATTCCCTCTTGTCCTATCACTATCTGCCCGTGTAAATACTCATTTTGTTCACCTTGTAAATAATGAGTGTACTTCCTATGCTTATGCCCTTTTTGTATTTGTTTCTAGGTGTCCAAAACAGGTTCCAAGAGCAACATGCAAGAACCACGCGCGTGAATGATATTTTCAGCTTCAGAAGATGGAATTAAACCAGCAGGGCTCAACTTAAAGCTCAGGCCCAGACAAAACATTTGTACACTGAAAGCTGCATAAACAGTTCAGCCTTCCATTCTGCTTGCCAGGTGTTAACTGTGGGTCAGAACCAAAATACTTTAGCTCCTAGAGAGGGCTTGCAGTAGATTCCAAAATTGCAATCCTAAAAACCTCAGCACAGAAGCTGGCTTCAAAGTTCTTATGCAATGTATAATTGTGGCTCCAACACCACTCAGACAACCACGGCTTCCATGGTGATGAACATATGGTGCACCTAAACATCAAAGTTGAGTCTTCCCCTCCTTCAGGGCCATAGGAGATGGATATGGGACACATTCCATGCATCCAATTATTCATTTTAACTATCCCTGTCAACTGCAGCTGTGGCTATCAATTGCAAAGGGAGGACAGGTGATTGTGCCTTCCATTCAGTAGAACAGACTAGTGGTCAGCACAGCAAAAATCTAGTTGGGTTGTAAGGAGACAAATTTTTATTTCAATCCCTTGGTGGAGCACAGAAGAACAATCTCAAGGCCTGCAGCTTGGCTGTGTGAGGTAGTTTCTGGGGACACAGGGCTAGGCTCCTGAGGGTGCTGGCTAACAAACTACAGCACAAAATGAAGAAAGATAAGAATTTTTTTTTTTTAGCAGGATTGGAGGTGAGTTTTTAGGGAATGGGGTGCTGGCCCCAGTGGAACAACGAAGGGATGGATTTTCCTACATGTCTGCGTGAAATCAAAGCTCCAGAGGGGTTAGGGATCCCATACCCAGCCCACTCCTCTTTGGGTGCTCAGTAGTGCTCAAAACCAATGTAAAAGCGACTATCTAGGCACCACCTGCGGGTGGCTGGGCACGGGCTCCCCAGCTCAGTGATCGCACCCTCAAACTGCTGGATTTCAATCCTTTCCTTCTAACGCGTAAAGAATTTTCACACAGCTCCCTCGCGAGAGGCAGACGAGAGACCCACGGTCCGTAGCCGCACGTCACACGCTCAGCGCCAGACGCGGAGCTGAAGGCACCGAGCCTCCAATCGGGAGCGGGCCGCACTGACAGCAAGCCCTGCCTTATTAGGCGCTCCGGGAAGCGGCAGTGGCGACACCGGCCCCGCCTCGCCCCCATCCGCCAGCGCCGCCTCTCCGCGCCGCGCACGCCGGGATTGGCCCTGCCCAGCGCCGCCGCTCCACGGGCCGCGGTCCCGCAGGCAAGATGCAGGTGAGAGCTGGGGGTCGCGGTAATCCGGCCCCGCCACAGCCCGTGGCGCGGGGGAGCCCGGCGGAGCGGCGTGCAGAGCCGTAAAGGCTAACGGCCTCGGTCCCGGGGCTTCCCGATGCTCCTCCCCGAGCGGGGCTGCGGCCGTGCGTGGCGTTGTGGGGCGCCGGGTTGGGCTCTTCTCTCTTTAAGGGCTCTTTTTTTTGTTGTTGTTGTAGTAAGCAGACGGGTGGGTGCTTAAGCGCTTCTGCGTGTTGACAGGTGGCAGGAGTGCTGAAAAGCTCTTAGTCTGCAAGTAGTGTGCCATGGGGTAGAGAAGGGATGTGGTCTCGCAGAATCACAGAGCTGTAGGGGTTGGAAGGGACCTCTGCAGATCGTCTAGTCCAGCCCCCCTGCAAAGCAGGCTTCCTACAGCAGGCTGCTGAAACAAAACCAACCTGGTGTGTAACTTAAAAACATTTCTACTGAGTTTCTCAGCAACACAGGGGTGCACATCGGGCTTCTTTTCTAGGGTTATTGGAACTGCATTGCAAAGGCTTTTAAAATTCAGGAGCAACCTCGGTACAGACCTAAATACATTTCCTCACAGTGGCCTCACCTTGAGGGACTGTGTGCACTTCCCTCCAAGCGCTGGCTTAGTGGTGATCACAGCACTTCCAGACTTTGTACCCTGCCAAGATGTGTCCTGGAGTAGAATCAGGTTACTTCTTATGGGGCTACAGGGCAGCCTTGGTGTCAGGAGGATGCATGCTGTGGCTTTCTGATGCTGTCTGGATGATTACACTTCATCTCTGTGCTGTGTTTCCTGAAAAACTTGCTTGAATGCAGCAAGGCTCTCCTCAAATACCAGGCATCCACTTCTTGTTTTACTGTAGGACCCAGAGAAAGACACCGAGTGGAATGACATCCTGCGCAAGAAAGGTATCCTTCCTCCAAAGGAAAACCGAGAAGAGCAGGAGCGTGCAAAGGAAGAGGAGCAGTTTGAAATCCTTCAGAAATCTCTCGGTGAGTGCATGTGCCTGTGAAGCAATGTGTCCTCATCTAAACCTGTAGGGGATACCAAAGCTAATTCTTGTGCAGGGTGTTGCATCTGTTAACGGTATCAGACAAATACGTTCCAGAATACATGGCCTCTTCCGGAGCAGGAGGACTCTCTTCTTGATGACAGCTCCATGATTTTGAAACGTTTACATGTATACAATTGAAATAAGAACTGCCTCAGTGGAGTATGTTTCTGAATGTACAAATAAAACATCTCATAAACATGATCATTGTATGCATCCTCCGTTATTCAGCCATCCCTGCTGTATTGTATGTTTGTGCTGCAGTCACAGAGCTTGAAAGCTACCTGTGGTTCTTCAGTACCAGCGTAGCCAGCCTTTGGCTTAGAATTGTTGTTGTCTTTACATCTATATGTATAGAGTTCATAATATTTTCTAAAAAATAGTGTAATATTGGAGAGGAAAAAACATATTTTCCATACATAAAATATATTTCTCATACCTAAATTCTGTAAGACTGAAAGGCTGATGAGTTTGTTCCCAGAATGATATATTTGCTGATTTGATATTGCTTCTTTTCTAGTGAAAACGTATGAGGACATGACTCTGGAGGAGCTAGAAGAAAACGAAGATGAATTTAATGAGGAAGATGAGAAAGCTATCGAAATGTACAGGTTAGAACATCATGTGGAGCTTGGCTTTAATGAAATCTTTTTTTTTTTTTTTTCCTTGTGTATCTCTTGTGATTTCTACCATCTAGCTTGGTAGCGTAGCATCTGCAGAAGAAATATCAAATTCCTTTCATGGAGCACAACTGTACTTCATGTTGATAGCTCGAATATGTGGTACAAATATAACAACATCGGTAACCTACTTCAACTTGTTTTTATTGCTGTTGGGTTTCAGCGTGTTTGTAACCTGCTTCTAAAGTCTGGATTTGAGCCAGGTACTTTAAATGTATCTATTTTTAAGATCTCTTTCCCATTCTTTATTGTTCAGACAGCAAAGATTAGCAGAAATGAAAGCAGCTCAAATGAAGAATAAATTTGGAGAAGTTCTGGAGATTTCAGGAAAGGATTATGTTCAAGAGGTTACGAAAGCTGGGAAAGGTATATGGGTAGTCCTGCACCTCTACAAACAGGGGTAAGATCTTACTTATTTAATCTTTAAACCTTTCATGGCTCCTGACAAATGTATAGTTAATGTGGAAATTGAGGAACTGAATCTGGAGTTAAAAGCATTGTTAGTAATTTGCTTTCTGTTGGTTTCAAGACAGCTGAGCTTTGCTGTTGAAAGGATATTACTATGAAGTGATGCTGCTGGTATCTTAATTAAAAACGCGCGACAAAAAAAGTAACAAGAAACAAATCAAAGAAAAGAAAAAAACACACCAACTTCTAGTGGTACTAATGTAATTGTTGTCCAGAGAACTGGACAACAAAGGTAGTAAAGTTGCTTTCAGTACATTTGTCTTCCCACTGAACTGTTATTTCTGACTCTTTTTTTTCTGGAGAAGATTGCTATCAAATGAGTCTTTTTTAGTTTTTCTTCTTATACGTGTCTCTTGCTGTTCTTGACAGAATTCCACTCTGTGCCTTAATAAACCAACATTTAAGTGGACTTGCAAAAAAGTTCAGAGATGTGAAATTCATCAAAGCTATCTCTACCACCTGTATACCCAACTATCCCGATAAGAATCTGCCTACGATATTTGTCTACCTTGAAGGAGACATCAGAGCTCAGTTCATTGGGCCTTTGGTGTTTGGTGGCATGAACTTGACGAGGGATGGTGAGTGTCTGCATCCAACTGCTGTGAACATCTTTGCAAAAAGCTAAAGAAGTGAGAATTAGGA